TCATCTTTCTCCCGCAGAGCAGCTGGTAGTTTCGAACCGCTGACCTTAAGGTTCGCAGCCCGATTCGTAACCACTACGCTACCAGAGCTCCTTGCTTTAAGATATAACAGGTTAAAAAAACCCTCTAATCTGAAATGTACCACTAAAGTCAGCTTCCCAGTTAGCTCTCAAAGCCCAAGTCTGAGATGGTGATTTGTGGGAAGCCTATGAGTCCTAGACGATAAATCCACCCTGTAACCAGTATGGATTGGCCAGCCCAGAACTCAGCTGCCCAGGCCCTATGCTGGTTCTCCCTTCTGTCTATAGAAGCTTGTCTGAAATGCCTCTGGACACAGCTTCTCTGTAATGTGCAGCTGGCTAGTTCTTGAGAGAGGAGCTGAGGTGGGGATGGAGTCGCCTCCTTGCCTCGTGCCATCCTGTGCGCTGCAGTTCACATTGGCTCCATGCTCCAGCAGGATGTTCAAGATGTCAGTCCAGCCCCGGGAGCAAGCCTCATGCAGGGCTGTGTAGCCAGCATTGTCACGGTGATTCACGTCCTCACTATCCTTCTGGAGGCAGTAGAGAACAACGTCCTGTGGGGACAAGGACAGGGGCTTCATGACCAGAGAGGTCTAATGCTTGAAATCACCTCAGGTTCATGCGCTACGAACATCAGTCTCAGAGCGTGACCTTCATAGCAGGGACTGACAAGCAGACCTCACTCTACCGCCGGGCCCTCAGCTCTGGGCTATTTATTTGCCAATGGGGATACATTTCTCAGAGCCAAGAACATTCAGCTGGGTGGTGGTTGTGGGGATGAGGTCCTTAAGGAGCATCACCTGCCTAAACCCTAGGGCTCACTGGGTCTGTGACTTTGAGACTAGAACTGAGATGTGGGGTGATGTGGACACAGAGCAATTGCTAGTGGGACTTAGAGAAGCAGGAAGAAAGAGCTGCTTCAAGTGGTAACCCCGGATGCTATTCTCATCCCAGCACAGTAAACTCCAGGCCTCCCTCAAATTCATGAGTAACTTCTGTGGGTGGAGGTGATAGGACCAAAGGTGGCACTCCAGGCGCTGGGGGCACCCTAGCTGGTAAGGGACTGAGCTGGTGAATGAGCTGAGGCCTTGGCTTTCAAACCAGCGTATCTTCCAAGTGCACGAGCATCGCACCTTCTCCAGGTACTGGTCAGATCAGACACTCCTCTGGGTTGACTGACAGCTCAGAGGCTGGCTAAAGCAGCTCTGTATATGCCTCCTACCCTGCTTACCAGTGCCCATTGTGGCCTCTTCCCCACAGCCCTCTCAGACCACAATTCCCTGCCCTCCCAAACAGGCCGTCCCGTACACGAGGGCCCTGGCCACTTTGGTTCTCTGATGGCAGCATATTTGCTACTTTTGCCCTGGGTAACACAAGAATTATCTGGAGGGCAGGGACTGGCATCATTTCTGTTTCAGGTTGCTCTTAATGCTCAACAAAGATGGGTGCACGAACTGGGGAGCCCCTGTCAAGTTGGCTGGCCTGTGCTGGCCCGCCTGGAAAAAAAACAAAAAAAAAAAAAACAGAGGGACCCAGCAATGCCACTGCTAAGAGCAAATCCGGACAACCTATGAGTGGGGTGGGCAAAGATTCGTGTTCAAGTGCCTATAAATAAAAAGTGGGCAGCAAGCTAAATATCCAACAAGATAATCTGAGTCTGGTAAACAAGTTAGTCTTCCACTCCTACCCTGGGAATCAAAAAGACCTTGGTTTGAACTCAGATATGTGTGTGTCTGTATGTGGGCATGCGCACACAGACCCACACCCTTACATATACAAATATATATGTATATACTGTTGCTGTGTTGAGTTGATTCTGACTGGATCCCATATGAGAGAGCAGAACTAACCCATAGGGTTTTCTTGGCTGTCATTTTTCAGGGAACAGCCTGCCATGTCCTTCTCCTACAGAGCTAGCTGGTGGATTCAACCCTTTTGGGTAGTAGCCGAGTGCTTCACCATTGAGTCACTAGGACTACTTATGCATATATTAACTAAGTATATTTAAGAGGACTTCAAAAAGTTTGTGGGAAAATTCCATTATCTTTTCATTTCATTTGCCACAAACCTTTTCAAGCCCCCTCATACATACTTGTACGTGTGTATAATAAGTATACAGGCATACACTAATAAATATGTGTGTGAGTATATGAGGAGGCTTCAAAAACTTTGTGCAAAGATGGATTCAAAAGATACTGGAACCCTAGGACCACCAAGGGAGAGGAGCACAAGCAGAATGCGGGACCCTATCCAGAGAAGCAGCGATGCCAGAGATGGAGGCAGAGATGGGGTCCTGGAGAGAGGAAGCCGCTGAGGACTCTAGATTCATGGGAAAAGAGTGACTAAGAGCTGGTGGCCAGGAGGCAGACTCGCAGCGTGTGCCCTTTGGAGGTGTAAATTATTATATATGCCTGAGTGT